TTAATTACTGGAGCATTAGATGCGACGCTCACACTTTGTCGTCCGGCTCAGCTCTATTAGTTGTGGTGCCACTGCATACATGAAATGTCTACTTCGGAACACCTAGTTAAAATGTACCGTGGCATAATTGGTGAGGCCATCGGTAAATGAAGCCGAAAAAACCTGCACCTGGACTTAAATAAATATAAAGGTGCAGTTTGAGATTTCACATGGTGACATGAACAATAAAACATAACTTTTGTAAAACATCTGAAGTACTCACTTCCTTATACCGGCTGAATATATATATATATATATATATATATATATATATATATATATATATATGATCTCTTACAGACAATGTATATGGGAAGTTATTAAACAAATTGTAATGCAAAACTTGAAGAAAGCAAAGCGGTTCAAGAGATAACTTGCCGTGAGCAGCAACCGAACCTGCGCCCTTCGAATAACGCGTTTGATGCTCTACCACTGAGCTATCACAGCGGCTATCCCCCCAGCCACTTTAGTGGATTTATATGTGAATTTAAACGTGGGAGTGCCAGTCAGTGCCATCTGCAGCCACGGCGGCGAGTGGGGCACAATCTTCATGAGCCTGTGTGGCGTCACGTAGCACGTGAACTTATTACGAGCTGGCACCTGACCAATAGTGCCTTGTATACCACCTAACGGCACCAAGTCTGCACGTACAAGACACTCGCTAATGAATAAGAGAAAGAAGTGTATACTTAAGGGCACGTTTTTCCGTGTTTTGACACAATAATAATGACATCTAACAGACAACAATGCCAAGGACTGTATAGAAGAAGTTATTAGACCAATCGTAGTGTAAAATGTGAAGAAAGGAAAGTGAGTGAAAACATAGGCAAGAGCAGGAACCGTACCTGCGACCTTCGAATAACGCGAATAAATCAGTGTCATGGCTACAGGTGGCGTTGACTGACACTCCCACGTTAGAGGGTCTCGTACTGGCAGACTTGGTGCCGTTAGGTTGTATACGATGGACTATTGGTCAGCGGCCAGCTTCTAATTGGTTCACGTGCTACATGACGCCAAAGAGGCTCATAAAGGGTGTGCCACACTCGCCGCCATGGCTACAGGTGGCGTTGACTGACACTCCCACGTTTAAATTCACATATAAATCCACTAAAGTGGCTGGGGGGATAGCAGCCGTGGTAGCTTAGTGGTAGGGCATCGAACGCGTGATTTCAAGGTCGCAGGGTCGGTTCCTGCTCACGGCAAGTGATTTTTCACCCACTTTTCTTTCTTCACATTTTACATTACAATTGGTCTAATAACTTCCCCTATACATTGCTTGGCATTATTCTCAGTGAGACCTCATTATTATTGTGTCAAAACACGGAAAAAAGAGCCCTTAAGTATATACTTCTTTCCCTTATTTACGAGGGTCTCGTACTGGCAGACTTGGTGCCGTTAGGTTGTATACGATGGACTATTGGTCAGCGGCCAGCTTCTAATTGGTTCACGTGCTACATGACGCCAAAGAGGCTCATAAAGGGTGTGCCACACTCGCCGCCATGGCTACAGGTGGCGCTGACCGACACTCCCACATTTATATTCACATATAAACCCAATAAAGTGGCTGGGGGGATAGCCGCCGTCGTAGCTCAGTGGTAGAGCATTGAACCCGTTTTTTATTCATTGTTGTTTCTTGAAAAGTTAGTAATTAAACAGACCTAATTCAACAATATTTGAGAACACAAAAATAGGTCGATTAACTTCAGGCAACGGAGAGCAACATGCACTTGGTCGCGTCGTAATTGCGTGTGCTGGCATGTTTTTAAACACTGGCTAAATATACCTAAAACAACCTGTATATATATATATATATATATATAGTTTACACATGTACGGCGTGCCCCACACAACGTCTGGCAAGAATTGGAAATTACAGACACTTCCGTCGTGAATTGAACCAAACGCGTACTAGCTCTAGCCTGTAGGTGCTCAGGCTATTTGTCTTTCTGCCTATACTAATTATTTAATGGTTCCTAATTGCATATTTTTATTTATTGGCTGGTGGAAACCTAAATAATGAACACTGAAATGTGCAGCACTTTTAGAAATCACCAATTAAATTGTTTCCTGTACGATACGTCTAGCGCTGTTATTTTTTCCGCGTTGTAAAGAAAGCATACATCAGCACTAAAGCAGTGCGCTCGCGGTCCGTCACACGGCTTATTTTCACATTTCACGGGCTTTCTTTGCAACGTGAGAAAAATAACAGCGCGAGACGTATCGTACAGAAAACAACTTAGCCGGTGGTAAAACAGCCTGACTAGCGTTTTATCGTAATAACACTGCAGCAGTTAGCTGCTTGTCTTACTTCGTACTAGCATATCACTGCAGTCTTTTCCATCGCACTCACTGCTTCACCTTTGCGGCGATAGTGACAGTTCTGCATAAGGATGAAAACCGCATCTGCAAAATATGCGGTCTAAGCGCAAAAGCCCTTTCAGTCCTTAAATAAGAACTGAAATAAAGAGCACCCTAAAGAACTAATCGGAATGCATTTCACCATCGAGGACGACATGACAGGATGAAAGGAAGATGCACAGAAGACACTCGCTACTACAGCGAGTGTCTATGTGAGCCTACTCATCCGTGTCTTGCTCTCGCTGCATATATGATCATAACCAGACAAAGTAAACTAGCCCAATTTGCATCCCTCACTGACTCCAGAGGGGGTCGTTGAAGTATGCGGCAATGATCCATACGCCATCTAGGTAGAAGAGCCGAGTGTTTCACTTTAATCCTGCAAATACCACACAATTATTGGTGTTTGACATCCAGAAACCAGGAAATAATTTAGAACGTTGCCGCCGGGGAGATTTTGCGGAAATTTCTACTGACCGGGTTATTTATTGAGCACTTTAATCTGAATACAATTTCGCCTCCATCAAAGTTGCGGCGGCCACTATCAGAGTTAGATCGGGTGACCTACGGGTCAGCACTTGAGCACCATGACCACCGTGGATAGTTTCTGCAAGCCCCGCTTGAATTTTCACGGTTCCCAACGAAATCCAAATCCTATGGCTTTACACTAGTCCATGAGGTGCGTCAAGACAAACGATGCTTGTATTGCTCTTATAGACATCGGTCTTTCACGAGTCATTCCTGATATCGATTGATAAAAAACAATTCCATTCGTGAGCCGGCCAAGAAAGTCATCTTTGCTGCGGTGGGCGTGCGTCCTTCTTCACTACTTATTGGATGATGGCACCAATCGAGCGCTGAAGTTTAAAATTCTAGCGTTTTCAGTGGAATAAAGATACAGCCAATATTCGAGGGGTGTTGAACAACTGAATAGCGTAAGTGTGCATCAGTACGGCTACTCGTTTCGTGGCTCCTCGATGTTTTGTTCTAGCGTAACGCACGGGCTATCAGTGCTCGTGCTCTCTCTTCTCCTGGAATAACGAAGTTGGTTTTTTCTGCAATGCTATCCAACATTCCGACAAACGCTAAAAGCAGTCTCCGCAATTTCGAAAGAGAATTCGAGCTGTTTTATTTAACAGCTAAAAAAACTTGGAATCATATGAAACACTGATTTGGACAAAAGTGCTGCTATGACATACTCTACCAGGTGCGATGATTTAGAAACTTGTTAGAGCCACACTACGTAAGTGGACAGTGATGTAAAGCTGAAAATATGCAAGAACTTGCCAAACCATATTCGTAAGCATAAAAATTACGGGCAATCTTTTACGAAGGCACCTCGGCTGAGACAAAGAAAGGTGTCATTCAAGAAAACTTGTGTGAAATTTAGGAAGCCACGTAGAAAAGTGCTCTATTATGATCGAATCTTCGAAACAGTAGTTTTGCGTGTATTTGGAGGCCATTGAATTAGGAGCGTAGGGAAGGCTGCGATAGTTTACGTAGGCCTATTTGTCACAGATTAATTTTATATGACTGTTTAGGTTGAGTATACTTCTAATGATATGTTCCTTAAATATGGCGCATCAATCTCACTGTTCTAACAACATTTTTCGGCATTTAATCGCACTTGATTCAATCGATCAACAAAAATTAACGCACCTTCGCACTTGGGGAGCCACATCTGAGGGAAGTGCGGAGCCGGGCATCTTTACTTATCTTTAGCTGCATCTTTCTTTTGTTCTCTTTTTCATCAACACTCTTTCTATTTACCTGTACTCTTGCTTTCTTCCTATTTTCTCTGCATTTCTTCTTCAATTTGTCTTTCGAAGTTTCTCTTTCTCTCTGCTTACTTATTTTCCATTTTTGTACGTGGCCTGAATTACGTCCAGTGAGGACAGCATGCAAGAACCCCTATAGTGCTCCGCCATTCTCACCTACAAGGCATTCAAAGAACAAGTGGGAGAGAACTTCTCCTTGGGTCGAGTGCATGCTCACTTATGACGGTGCTCAAAGGACAAGATGAAGAAGACCTCTCGGTGTGAACGCGCGCTCAGATGGCTTTGTTGTTCGTCGATTTGCCTGCATTACGCCAAGCGGCCACGACAGCATATGATGGCAGCATACCACAGCCCGGCCGCTGCTTCGCGCCTAAATGTGCCAGCTGGCGATTGTCGCTCGCATTCTGTATAGTAGTCACTGCCAGGGCAAGAATTTTGACTCAATTTCAGATCACTGCCTATCAAGGTCACTTTTGAACTTGACTTCGCGCATTTTTTTTTCATGAACGCTTTCTTTCCTCAGGCCATCAGCGAATGAAGCGTCTTACCTCTCGAATCAATTTCTGATGGTAGCTATGACTTCAATGACGGCATACCTTTTTCTTCACAACTATACAGAACGAGTTATTGTGGCACCTGATTACCACTTGTGCATTTTATTCTATTAATGCAACTCAACAATATTTATTTTGCCGCGTTCCATTTCTTGAGGTTTATATTGCTTGTTTTGGTAATGATTTGTTCACAAAATGAACTTTATCGGTTTTTCTCATACTTGGTGGGTCGACCACAGTTTGCTGTCAGTAAACAAAATAAATTTCTTACGTGGGTCTTCTGTGGCACCAGCAGCGCTTCCAACAGCTCCTTGGTCAGCAGGAGAGACCTCGAGATAGCAGGGCTCCTGCGTCGACACATTGAGATATCGGGGAGCGTGCACTCGTATTGGGGCTTCTTCCCTCTGCACGAGTCTTATCCTTCGCTCAACAGCAGTCAAGTGCACCGCGGTCTCGATTACGGTGGCCATGGGTCCAGTGGTTTCGGAAGGGCCTTGCGCTTCTCGCCGCGTATGGCGCAGCACTCTGTAGCTGCCACCAACATTTCTTTCCGTTCCTCTTTCTTCCTCCTGGCAAAATAAAGGCTTCTCATTAACGACAAAATAGCTGCCCAAACCATCACCGGGAAAGAAATAGTTTTCAGCCCTGAGATACAAAATTGAACATGACATTACTTTTTCGGTACACACAGTAAACTAAATTTGGCAATCTAAGGCTGGGAATAGAAAATGGAGAAGTGTGATTGGGAACGCTACCCACGGGTTAAGTGAAACTAAACCTAAGTATATATTCTGAAGCAAAGGTGTGACAAGGAGAAAAACGTGCGGAGCCATTGCGACCACCGGGTCCTTTCGGGCATCGCAAAATGCAGTTTCTCGGTTTCTTCAAGCAGTGCAAGATGACACTTGAACTTTTAGTTCAAGTGTCATTGCACTTGCCGATTCCGGCAGCCGTTGTAACCGATGCTCACACTGCGAAGTTAGCAGAAAGAGTGAGGCTACCTATGGCAGACAAGATCAAAAACATATCGTACACGAAACAATATATTTTATTTTTATTTGTTTAATACTGCAGGCCAAAAAGGCCCAAGCAGGAGGGGCACAAACACAAACACAAGATCAGTACATGAGTGACACAGCTTCACTAAAATACATCTGTGTAAGAGGAGAGCGAGTAGAAGAGAAACATCAAAACAAAGAAAGCACGTGATCAGTACATGAGTAACACAGCTTGACTAAAATACATCTGTGTAAGAGAAGCGGGGGGGGGGGGGGGGGTCAAGATTCACAGAATTAAACATTGGGTTCATCAAGATCGAAGGTTTGGAGGAAATTAGAAGGCAAGTTATTCCATTGTGTTACAGTTCTCGGAAAAAAGAAAAACCTAAATAAATCTGTCCGCGCAAAATACGGAGTTAAAGATCGGACATGAGAATGACGAAGTTTGCCTGGTCGAAACTGGGGTAACGTAATGTGATGGGTCTAGCCCAAGTTTATTGTTAATTAGTGAGTCTAAGAATTTTAGACGGAGAAGCTGGCGCCGCGATTGTAGCGTCTGGAATTCGTTATCTCGCATTAGTTCACTAACTGATGTACCACGACCATACTTCGAGTAAATAAAACGCACTGCTCGTCTTTGAATCTTTTCGAGGGAATATATGTTAGACTTAATATGCGGATCCCACACAATACAAGCGTATTGAAGCTTTGGGCGTATTAAAGTGTTATAAGTTTATAGTTTCACTTGTGACGTGGCGTCTGAGTTTGTGCCTTAAAAGACACAGTTTACGGAAAGCCGATGACGAAACATCGGCAATGTGTGCACTCCGGGACAACTTATTCGTTGTTGTTATACCTAGGTATTTGTATTGACTGACTTCTTTTAAGGGTTGGCTTTTGCAGGAATAGGAAAACTGAAGGGGATTTTTCTTGTTAGAAATTCGAAGGCAAACAGATTTATCGAAATTGAGCACCATGCCCCATTTGTTACACCACGAAAGAATATTGTTAAGGGCAGTGTCGAGAGCGACCTGATCATCTGGCGAGGGTACATTTGTGAAAATAATGCAGTCGTCTGCAAAAAGTCTTATTTTAACCGGATCAGTAATAGCATTAACAATATTATTGCAATAAATTATAAACAGGAGCGGACCTAGAACACTACCCTGCGGTACGCCGGAATCTTCTGGGAGATGAGGTGATGTCTGTCCACAAACGTCGACATACTGTTTCCGGCCGTTCAGGTAAGCAGACACCCAGGATACTAGGTAGTTTGGAAGCCCTATAGTCTGCAATTTCTCGATGAGCTTTTTATGAGGAACACGGTCGAAGGCTTTACTGAAATCTAAAAACAGTACATCGACCTGACCAGCTTTGTCTAAAATAGAAGCAATGTGATGAATAACTGAGGCCAACTGGGTGACTGTGGAAAACCGTTTTCTAAATCCATGCTGAAAGGGAGATAAAATGTGGTTATCATCTAAGAAGCTGTTTATACGAGTGGCAATTATATGTTCTAGCATTTTGCAACATGCGGAAGTCATAGAAATTGGACGGTAGTTTGATATGCACTATGGGTCCCCCTTTATCACAAAGGGCAGAACACGTGCCGATTTCCAATCGATGGGTAAAGTTGCTGAACTTATTGAGGCTCGGAAGATCACAACAACGTACTTGGCCAATATTTCGGCATATCGCCGGTGAAATGCATTGGGTATGCAGTCGTGCATTGTGCATTAGCATACGTGCACATATTTTCCTGCGTTGCCTATAATGTTAGCATACTGGCGTTTGATTTTCTTTGTGAAAACGCAGTAAAAGAACAGCTTCTAGGTGTTTTCGCTGCCGCTTCTGTGAACTGATGCTTCGCTTTTATGCCTGAGCAATTCAGAAATGCTGCATGTGCTTTTCTTAGGACTAAGCGAGACGTTTCGCATTGCATCACGCTAGCAACAACTTCTCTACCACTTCGTTTTCAATTAGATAGAGTTAAGTATAAGTAACCCTTGTCGCTTAATATGTGTGGCCTCTACCAGCGAGTCAAAAATCCCGATGATAGTGGCAAGGGCACTTGGCGGCTTACCCACAGGTCGCGGTATCGAATCCCTGCAGCGTTGGCTGCATTTTTGATGGAGGCAAAAATGCTGTAAGCCCGTGTGCTCATACTTTGGCGCACGGCGAACAAGCGCAGGTGGTCGAAATTTTCTGAGCCCCCCACTACAGCGTCTCTCGTAATCATATGGTGTTTTTTGGGACGCTAAACCCTAATATCAATTAATCAATCAAAAATCAAGATGGATGCATAGAACTGAAAATCCAGGATTCGCGCAGAAATCGAACTGAAGCGCTCTGTGAGGTGGTCAGGCAATGATCACATGGCCACGTTAATGCTTGAAGTTGCTTTGGAAAAACACCGGAGTTCCAAACACCCGGGAACTCATGGGTCATCTCCAGTGCTGAATCATGTTCACGTATATAATATTAAGTGACAAAAGTGTATAAGTAAACAAGACATGGCACCACGTGAGTGGCATAACGAGAGGGTGGTTTAAACTAGGCCACCTGTTACGTGTTAAGCTATAAGTTGTAATAATTATCGTCAGGTACATAATGAACTAAACTCACCGCTACGCAGTCGCACAAACTGCCTTAGACCCATAGTCGTGACGCTATCACGCAACGCTTTTAGGGGATGCTTAAACTTCGCCATAATTATTTGGCAACGTATGGCTTACCGCTACGCAGTTGCGCATACTGCCTTAGACTCTTAGCCGTGACGCTATCACGCTACGCTTTTAGAGGATGCTTAAACTTCACCTTTATTATTTCACAACGTAAGGGCGAGAAATGTAAACCAGTGCGATCGCACTGGATGTTGCTGTGAACATCTTCGCATTTCACTTCCGGTGCCACTAGAGCTGGGCGCCACACCACAGCGCAGTTGCGAACATCCCACAGACCAATGGGTAAACCGAACACCTTAACAAAGCGATTGCAGGTCTGCTTTCGATGTATGTTAAGAAAGATCACAAGTATTGAGACGAAATCCTCCCATATGACACTTACTGTCCGAGGCAACATTACCCCAAAAAAGAGCAACGGAGCCCAATAGGCCCGCGACTTCAACGAATAGACCATTGAAGAGGAACCACTGAGGAAAGCGTGTTGCGTGCAAACCACAGTCACCAAAGGGATGAACCATGTGGGAGATGCGGGCCATGCGCATACCGTTCTGACGGACACTAGCTGTCGGCCTCTCTCCCAACTCAGTTTTCTCCCTTATTTTGCTGGTGACGGTTGGCATTGTGTCGCGCATGGAGAGCTCGATGATCTAAGAATTACGCCGCGGTGCTTTATATGTACGCTTGAATGGCCATGCGCTGCTGCTTTTGCGTTTCACCGCACACATGAAGTTTGGAGCAGGTCTCGACAAGTCGCCACGCCACGCTGTACGTCTCTTGCTTAGTCAAGATGGTCACGGCCAACTCACGAAACTTCGGGTTGGCAATAAGAGTTAACATGGCGGCCGAGAAGACAGCACGCCTATCAAACATTATTTCAGTCTGACTAAGGGCAGAAATCACCGCTAGATTTTTCACAACTAGGTGATCATTCTTCATTCTGCCGTACCTGCGTGTGCGATACGGATCACGCTTGCCGGCAACGGGCTCGGTCGTGTTGTATATCGCACGCACGCAGCTTCTTGGCGCTTTGACACTCATCCCATTTGTATAGTATTGACGCCAGGCCAATCAGGCCTGCCCAGAGTTGCGGCGGTGAACGCAGCTGCTCGTCCTTTTATTTGGGCCTCCCGCGAAATTCTGGCCTATTATCGGACTTCCCTCTGCCTCTACCAAGGCCCCACACGTGTTCTGGAGAAAGAGGACGAGCAATACAACGCTGCCTCCAGACGAACACTTATCTCAGTGTGGCGTTACCCAGGCATTTTTGCCCCAAATCAGTAGCACCTGCTCGACCTGCCAGGTCATGGTCGATACCTACCACGTGGTCGCTTCGTGCCCCAACAACCCACTTCTTTCATCTCATTTCCCCCTCCCATCTTGAGTGGCTTGGGAGGAGTACATACTGGGCTGCTCCACCTTGGATTCTTAGCGCTCCTTAGTGAGGCGCGCTCGGGCAGTGGTCAACTTTATTGCGATCCCGGAATAGGTTCTTGCCACTCAAGCATGCAATATGCCGCAACTGTTTGGTACATTTCTTTGTAATAAATTGTTTTATACAAACACCACCTCAAAGTTCTGGCTGCGGCCACTGCACTTAACCTGTTGCGCTACGGTGACTACTACACGACAATTGTCCAAGACGCATTTTATACTGACGTGGTGGTGTCTAATGTGTGGTGGCAACTTAAAGTTATGTACAACGCGCTTGGAGGTGACGGCAGCGGTGATTCTCGATTGAGCAGCGGAAAGACGATGATAACGTTGGCGCAAAACATCACGTATGAAATTGCGGCCCGCAAAAACGAAGATACAGTTTGCGCGAGAGGTTGAGCTGCCAAGGCACAAGAGGGAAGAAGAGGAAGACGAGTCGGGGGCAGAACGAAATCA